AAGGGACTGGTGCATGGCCCATCCCACAGGAAGTGTTTGCAGCACAGGCAGTGGGAGAGACGGGCCCACCGGGGGAATACTGGGGCACAGCAAGGACAGCTGATCTGCACCCCAATCAGCGTAGGACCACTCAGAGGAGACTGGTCAGGAATATAAAATTGCATAGGGTGCAGTTTGATGAAAAGACTCAGGCCCAGATAAGAGTTACTACACAACCCTGGTACACTGAGCCTCTGAAGAGCTGGAAGTACCTATAAGTCGACCATTATAACCTGTGCTGCACAAAAAGCCTTCGATAGGGAAGCAGCGGCAAAGCAGCAATTTAGCTAAATCACAGAAGGCAAATACTGGTCCCAACAGGAAGTTCCCCCACTTTAGAAGTAAGCAAAGGTAAAAAAAATTAGTTCTGGCTTAGACACACTACCAGCGCCTTGGGTCTGCCCCAGGACATGAAGCATGGAGCCAGGGACTGAAGCCCCCTCCCACAACCAGGCACATCATGCCAGCACTGCAGGGCCCACCTGGGGACTTGAGGGATAGAGCTGGGGGACCGGACCCCCTTCCCTTCAACCAGGCACACTGCACCAGCGCTTTGGGGCCCATCTGGGGACCCGAGGCATGGAGCTGAAGACTGGGCCCCCCTCCCCTCAGTCAGGCACACTATGCCAGCACCTCGGGGCCCACTGGCGGACCCGAGGGATGGAGCTGGGACTGGACTCCCCATACAACCAGGAACACTGCCAGCACAAAGGAGCATGCCAAAAACATCACCTCCATGTGGGTGGCCCACCACAGCCACCACAATAACCATGGCTGCCACGAAAGTGGCTAGATGCCACAACCACCACACACAGCTGGTCCACCAGCCACTGCATTGCATTGACACAAGGAGAGTCACCAGCAGAGATAAAGACAAGAAGAGGATGTCTGTTTCCACAAAGCCCATTCCAGAGTGACAGAAGAAGCACCTGCTCTATGATAATATTGGAGGACTCGATCACACCTCTCAGCATTGGACAGATCATCTAGGCAACAAATCAACAGAACAACCATTATTCTTTCAGAAGGAGAGAAGAAATCTAGGGTAATTAGAGGGCAGAGGTTGGAGGGTGAAGGGGATGGGGAGAGACTGAAAAAGGGGCATAAAGAATCAGTATGATTTGCAACAATATATATGCTAGTAATATTGATTTGATGAACATATCTTAACGTTGAACCCCCAAAATATGTATAATCAATTTTGATTCAATAAAAATAAAAAAAAAAAGAAAGAAAGAAATTAAAGAGGACTAAAAAAGGAGGAAAGACATTCCATGCTCTTGGATTAGAAGAATTAACATTTGAAAATGTCCATACTGCCCAAAGCTATCTACAGATTTAATGCAATTCCCATCAAAATACCAATGACATTGTTCAGAGAAAGAGAAAAAACAATCCTAATATTCATATAGAACAACAAAAGATGACGAATAGCCAAAGAAATCCTGAACAAGAAAAATTAAGCCTGAGACATAAAACTACCCAAGTTCAAATTATGCTACAAAGCTATTGTAACCAAAACAGTATGGTACTGACATAAAAACAGACACTTGGACCAATGGAAGAGAACAGAAAACCCAGAAATCAACCCACATATGTGGAGTATACTGTAAAGCAAATATATTTCACAGGGCCTAGTTTCTTGTACTTTCAGGTTTAGTCTAACTTCTTAAAAGTACGTATAAAATGTTGACCTCGCAAAAAACAGGAAATTTTCCCCAGGCTATAGTCTCTGTTGTAAGATAAAGAATTGTAACACAGCAAGGTTGCTGGTTCAAAGACAGACAAGTTACTGATTGATATGTAAAGATACTGGGAAGCTGCTGTAAGGAGACGGAATGTTTGCTAAGATCAAGCTTTTGTTGGTGGATCACTTAAATTGCCTTATGGAATGTCACTTAGCTTGTTTTACTAAATGTTACCAGCCTATATTGTTAAACTATAACCCCATCTATGTTCTCTTTCTGTAACTTCCTGGAGAATAAATGCGGGAAGTGAACCCCAATTTGTGGTTAATTTCCCAAATGAAAGGAATGCCTCTCTCTTGAGGATTCCGGGAGATTAACCACTTTGGGGCTTCTCACTGCTCAGAAGAGATGGACTTTGAGTAATCCTTTGTGGCTCCATCACCCAGGGGAAAAGGGGTGACAAATCCGTGGGAGGCAAAGCAACACACATACTTACAGCCAACTGATCTTTGACAAAGGCAACAAGAACATACATTGGGGAAAAGACTGCCTCTTCAATAAATGGTGCTGAGAAAATTAGACATCTATGTGCAGAAGAATGAAACTAGACCTGCACCTCTTGCTTTATACCAAGATTACCTCAAGATGAATTAAAGACTTAAGTATAAGACCCCAAACCATAAAACTATTAAAAGAAAACATAGGGGAAACACTTCAGGAGGTAGAAATGGGAAAAGATTTTATGAATAAGACCCCAAAAGCACAAACAAAAAATGAAAAAAATAAACAAATGGGATTATATCAAACTAAAAAGCTTCTGCACAGCCATGGAAACAATCAACAGAGTGGAAAGACAACCTACAGAGTGGGAGAAAATATCTGCAAACTATATATCCAACAAGGGATTGATATACAGAATATATAAGGAACTCAAACAACTAGTAATAAAACAAATAATCCAATTAAAAAATGGGCAAAGGAGCTGAACAGACATGTTTCAAAGGAAGACATACAAATGGCCAACAGGTACATGAAAAAATGCTCAACATCACTAAGCATCATGGAAATGCAAATCAAAACCACACTGAGATATCATCTCACCCCAGTTAGATTGGCCAGTACTAAAAAAACCAAGAATAACAAAAGCTGATGAGTATGTAGAGAAAGGGGAACCCTCCTACACTGTTTGTGGGACTGTAAAATAGTACAGCCATTATGGAAAACAGTATGGAGGTTTCTCAAACAATTAGATAGAACTACCATATGATCCTACTTCTGGGTATATACCCAAAGAAATGGAAATCATCATGTCAAAGGGATACCCGCACTCCCATGTTCATCGCAGCTCTATTCACAATAGCCAAAATATGAAAACAACCTAAATGTCCATGAACAGACGACTGGAAAAGGAAAATGTGATATATATACACAATAGACTACTACCCAGCCATAAGGAAAAATGAAATACTGCCATTTGCCGCAACATGGATGAGCTTGGAGAAACTATGTTAAGTGAAATAAACCAGACACAGAAAGAAATACTGCATGTCCTCACTCATAAGTGGAAGGAAGGAAGGAAGGAAGGAAGGGGAATGAAGGAAGGAAGCAAGGAAGGAAAGAAAAGAGCATAATAATATGTTGATCTTTCAGAAGGAGAGAACAAATCTATGGTTACTAGAAGTGGGAGGGGGAAGTAAGAGGGGGGTTGCAGAGAGATTAGGTAAGAGGCATAAAGAATAATTACAATTTGTAATAATGAACATGCTAATAATATTGATTTGATCAATACATGTTGTACACAGGTGATGGTAGTCAATGCTGTACCATCAAAATATGTATAATCAATTATGCTTCAATAAAAAATAAAAAAATAAAAAATATCTCTTTGAGACCCTGCTATCAATTCTTTTGGATATATACTCAGAAATGGGATTCCTGGATCATATAGTAGTTCTATTTTTAATTTTTTTTGGAACCTCCTTCCTATTTTCTATAGTGGCTGCACCATTTTACGATCCCACCAACACCGCACAGGTTTCCAATTTCTCTAAATCCTCATATCCTTGCCAACACTTGTCATTTTTGCCTTATTTTATTTACACACATTTATCTATTTCATAGTACCCATCCTAATGGGCATAAGGTGATATCTCACTGGGGTATTGATTTGAATTTCTCTGCTCTGAATATATCTTTTTGTATAACTCTGACTCTTAGATCCATTATAATGTTTCACATACCTAAAATATAAAGAAATAATTAAAACTGAGATGTAGTGGAGGGAGGGGAACCAAAATGGAATATAAACAGTAACTATGAGAAATGGTATCTTGTCTGGACACTCTAAGCCTAAAGATAAAAATAACTGTACATAAATGCTGTAATCAAGTTCATAAAAATGTTTACAGGGGTATGGACAAGCAATTCTGAGACTATGGGTATACTAGAATTGAAGAATAAATAGACTGCAGAAAATGAGAGCTGGGTTTCTCACTGTTGTAGAAAGAAGTTATAAATAAGGAGGGGAAGGCTAAAATGAATCCTACAGTGTTGGAATAGAATCAGAGGTATCAGTATAAAATCATGGTTTTTAATATATATACAGATAGATACAAAAATATAGACGAGGGTGTGTATGTGGGTTAGTATACACGCAGTTATTTTTAGCTCTACTGCTGAGACAACCTTAGAAACAGTGACACTCTAGTAAGAATGAGCACAGCTACTGCTAGTGCCCAGATCTTGGTTTCTAAATACCATTTTTCAATAAATGAAAGCAGCGTTCCTTGAAGATATGGTTGATTCCAGAACTGGGGCAGGAAAAATACAAGATGGGTTTGGAACATCCTGTGGAAATGCTCAAAAACTTGAGGACTCATTAAAGACACAAGAGCCAACCTGAAGGAGCTCCTAATGGATAAAGCAGGAACAATTTGAGCAATAAAACAAATGGATGTTATGCTATAGAATAAAATAAATATCCATGAGTCTATATGGATTTAACTAAACAGTCAAATAAATAAATGGGGAGAAGAGACAACTCTTTCTCACAGAGGAATTCCAATTAATGAATTTCTGAGGCCAGAACCCATGCTCTTTCTATTATACCAGGCTGCTTTAAAGATAACTAAGTTTTAAGTAGTCAGCAAGGTTGATTAAGATCCCTAACTTGACACCAAGTGCTACCAGTAACTGCAGTATATCAAGAGAAAACAACTATTAGGAGATAGACTCTGCTAGAATACACATTAAAAATTAATCTATGACTCTTACTTTATAGATCCAGGCAGGGTACCTCCATGGGCTTGTAGCAACAAGACCTGTAGCTGTTGTACCTAGGAGAAGTAAGTAAGTAAATCAATCAATCAGCTAGTCACCAACTAAAAGCTAATTATCCCTTGGCAGTGAAATTACAATTAGCAGTAGGGTAATTTTACTCAATGTCTATGAAATTTAAGGCAGATCTTAGGCACTACAGAAGGCATCAGGTTTGATGATTCAATGATAAACGGACAATCAGCATTACATGAACAACTACTACTTAGAAGGTGAGTTGTCCCTTTTATCTAGCATCTTAATGATTTTTATTGAACACCTATTTTTAAAGATCAAACTCAGCACTGGGCTGGGCAATGTAGGGGCATACAAAAATAAAATATTGTCTCTACTCTCAAGTTTATAATCTAGTTGAGGAAGACAAGCATAAAGCCTGAAATAGTAGGAAATAATACAAGACAGAAGACATTAAATGTCAGGTATAGTTAAGTACTTTAGGGTTTTAAGAAGAAGCAAATTAATGAAACTCCAAAACAGTCAAAGGGTGGCTTCATGGAGATGGATCTTAAACCAGAGTACACGTGCAAGCATCCTCTTCCATTTCCTCCTATGACAAAAGAGGAGCTGTTCTGCCTCTTACGACTAGTCTCCTTGCTTGTGGTTTGGATTCCCAGTCTTCTTGCCTCCTTATGAATCTTACTCTACTTGTTACCCCTGCACTCTTCTATATCTCAACTTCTCCCTTTCTATAGGATCCTTCCTATTAAGATTAAAACACATTCAAGTCTCTCCCTTCTTAAAACAAAAGCATCCTTCCCAACCCCACTTCCTATCTCTCTTGCCTTATTTCTCTCTTCTTTGCAATCAAAGAGAGAATAGTCTATACAAATTGCCTCCATTTTTTTGCTCACCTCTCACTTGTTCCTTAACCTATTCCAATCTCATTTTTGCCTACATCAGTCCACTGAAATAGCAAAAGGTCACCAAAGATCTGTATGTCACTAAATTTGATGGGCATTTTTCAGTCTTCATTTTACTTGATTGACAGTTTGGTAGCATTTGGCTTACCAGACACCACACTTTCCTGGCTTTCCTGCTACTCTTCTAAGTCTCTTTCTTGGCTCATCTTTGCTCTAATTGTCCTTTAAAGGGTAAAGTCCCTCAAAGCTCAGTATCAGTCTTTTTATTTTATACTGTCTCTTTTTATTCCCTACCTTTAGTTTCAGCTACCAGATATAAACTGACTTTCAAATTTATCTCAAATGAGGCTTTCTGAACTTTAGACCTTTATATTCAACTAGCTAGCTGATATTTCCACTTAGTTGTCTACTATCCTCAAACCTAGTCCTTTTCCAGTACACCCAAGGTCAGTGAATTTCCAGTTCCACATGCTAGGAATCTGGGTGTCATATCCTCATTCTCTTATCTAATTTACTGGTTCTATCACCACCACTACTACCCTAAGTCCAAGCCACCAGTACTGTACCTCTCACTTGGACTACTGCAGTACCGTCTTAAATGATCTCCATGAATCTACGTATACTCTTGCTCCACTATAACCCATTTCCACATAGCAGCCAGACTATCTTTTAAAAATGTAAATTATCAATGTTACTACCCAGCTTAACATAATTTTTAACATGGTCTGTGAGTCCTTGATCAGGCCTCTTCTTCCTTTCAAGCCTCATATTGGAATACTCTTTCCTTGCTTCTATACCCTAGCCAACTGGCATTCTTTGAGTTCTATATTTTTTCCACTATAGTCCTTCCTAATTCAGACTCTTCTAGCACTTGCTATATGCCAGGTACTGTTCCAGATGCTTCACATGTACTAACTCATTTAACCCTCACAAAAACCCTACGAAGCAGGTACTATTATTATTTCCACTGTAGAGATAGGAAAACTGTGGCACAGAGAACTTGCCCAAGGTACACTGCTAGTTAGTCATAGAGCCAGGATTTGTACCTGGGTAGTCTGGCTACAGTCTCAATGCTCCTAACCACTATACTTTGCTACACATGCTGTTTCTTCTCTCTGGAACTCTCTTCCTTCTTTTCTGCACAGCTAATTTCTACTCAGTCCCTTAGATCTCAGCTCAAATGTTGCTACGTCAGGGAAGTCTTTCCAGACTAGATATATAACAAAAGACCTTATTTTATACTATCATAGAACAGTATCCCAGTTTATAATTACATAATATTATATATTATAACATGTAATTACATGTTTAGTGTTTGTCTCTCAAACTAGTCAATAAGTTCCATGAAGGCAGAAACTGTGTCTGCTTTGCTCAGTAATGTATGCCAGCACAGTACCTGGTGCATGATAGTGTTCAATAAATATTTATTGTTAAAATGAATGAGCAAATAAATGAATAACAAGAAGGGCATTTTTGGCAATAGAAATAAACATAAAAGAAAATAGGCAGGCAGAATGCATTATGGTATTTTATAATTCAAATGATATGCTTATATCCTCTACAGTGATCCCTAGGAGGGAAGGAGGTAAAGAAGAAGGAAAGGGAAGAAAAGAGATTAACTGAATAGTAGTTACCACTGAGGAGGAAGGCCAGAGAGGGAGTGAGCACTGGACATCTGGGAAACACTAGATTTCCAGTGGAAAGAGTACTATACCCTGGAAGGCAAGAAAACTTAACCCTGTCAAACCTGCATCGATCTATTTGCCTGCCTTCTCAGCTCCTCCACCAGGGCTACCAAGCTGTTGCAGAACCAGTCATACTGATAGAACCACGAATTCATGCCCCTAGTCAGTTACCTCTTCCATTTCTGGTAACAGTGATTTCAAGACTTCCGTGGGTCTCTTTAAGCCCTCAACCCTATTGTCTGATTACTTGCTCTTATAAGATCACCTTGCCTCCTACTTCATTGAGAAGATAAAGGTCATCAGGCTGAAAATCCCTCAATTTCCCTTCTCCTCCCTCTAAAGTAGTGTCACTATATTCTTTCTATCTAACTTCTTCTAGTCTTGGGGGCAGGTATATCTTCTACTGTCTAGAGCAAATCTCTCTTTGTTTGCATTTAGGACCTCAACTACTCAGAGACAGCCTCTTATCAACTAGTCCCTGTTCTCAGTTTCAGTGTCTCCCAAATGGTTCTTTCATTTGTTAAAGTCTCTTCCATATTTTAAAAACACAGACCTATGTTCCTTGACCCTTGACAACCTGGCTACTGCCTTTTTTCACCTTGCCTTCTTGAAAGAAGAGTATTGGTTTCCTCTACTTCTATCTATTTTATCCTGCAGCAACCTGTTCTTATCATTCCCCCGACCTTCCTCTCACTGAGGTCACCAATAGCCTCCTTATTGATAAAAATCACTGGACACTTCTCAATACTTATCTTACTTTACAACTTCTTTGTAAATTTTTACTTTTGACAACTCTCCTTGAAATGTTATTTCCTTGGCTTCCACGACACCACTGTTGTCTTCTCTCCTTTCCCCATTCCTTAAATGCTGGTGTTCCACAGAGCTGTCTTTGGCCTTCTCTTCTTCATTCAATCATTTAATGTGCGAGGCAATCTCTGATCTCATCTACCCCATCACTTTAGATACCATCTAAATGCCGATGATTCTCAAATCTGTACCTTCGGCTCTACACTAAACCCATATAACCAGCCATGTTTGTACATTTCTACTTACATGCCCCCCAAGCTCTTCAAATTCAAAATGCCCAAAACTGAACTCATCATTTCCATTTTCCTACCTGACTCTGGTATTCCTCCTGTATTCAGACTCAGTGATTAGTCTGCCATTTACTCAATTGCCCAAGCAAAAGCTTGGGAACCAACCTTGACTCTCCCTACCCACCCTTCTTTTCCCATATCAAATTTGTTACCACATAAGCCCTATACATTCTACCTCCTTCTTGTTTTTACAGATATTTCATCATATCACCCTCTTATTTAAAACTCTTTAATGGCTCTTCATAGTTTTCAGGTTGAATTCCAAATTCTTTACTGAGTCATATATGAGTCATATAAAGAACTTCAGGCCCCTGTCTACCTCTCTTGCCTCATCTCTCACTGCTCACTTCTTCCTTATCAGTGAACTCTAAAGTGCCACCCCAATCTTAAATGGACAGCAAACATGTTAATAGTAGTTATTTTAAGAGGTCCCCAAACTAACATAATAATGCTTAACCAACATCTCTAAATTTCTGATAGAAGAGAAACTGAGAAACAGAAGCTCTACTGTTCCACTCACATACATGTAATTTCCCCCATGATATTTTAAGTCCCTTATACCTGTTGCTTTAGATGATTAAGTTCAGCTGTCTGGGGATCAATATTAACAATAGGTTTATTCTTGATTTTTCTTGCTCTGTCAGCATAGCGAAGGGTATTTAATGTTTCCTCGAGATTGGAGTCAGCAGGACTCACACAAGCTATCATAAGAGTATGGCTATTACCTCCCAGAGAATCTGAAAAAGAATAATAAAGAACAACGGAAGGAGATGAAATCAAACAAGTAGGATGCAAGCATAGCCATCCATTTGGGCTGGTAACTTCAAACTCGGAGCAATAAACAACATTCTTAGATATCTACAAACTTCCTATTTGTGTCAATATAAAAACACTAAGATTTCTGATGTGTAAAACGATACAGTTTAGAATCCTATGGCATATGTCCCCATTCTCAAGAGATAGAGTATGATTTCAGAAGTTGAGGTTAAAACAACTGGGGTCTGGCCAAATTAAGTTAGGAGCAACTACTTGGATTAAACACTCTTAGGATGCCCCCTCTAGGTGTATTTTAACTCTCCAGGGAATTCCGCTTATCAGTACTATAATTAAAGAAACAGTAACCAAGTTAATTTTCAGGGGCAAAGAACCAAGTACAGTTGGCACTCCACAGATTTCTTGGCTCTCAAAGCCATATATGAAGAAGTCTTTCCATTATCTTAGAAGTCTGCCTGTCAACAGCTCTGTCTCCTATTTATCGATTACACGGCTGTGTATGTGATAGTCCAAACAGCTGACTTTTTACCTGTGTTTCATCTTTGCTTTGTCAGCACTATCATTCTGAGTTACTCTCTTTTATTTTTGAGAGGCACGTTGGGCTTACCTTGAAGCAGTCGAGTCAACTTGGAATCTCTGTATGGCACAAAGCCACCCTTTTTGTCATCTCCAAGAGCACTTATCACATTTCCCAAGCATAGGAGGCCTCGGTTAATATTAATACCTAACAGCAGGAAACAAAATTTAAATTTCTTGGTAAAGCATCTAACATGTACCTATATTTCTTCTGAGAAAGAAAAAAGAAATAAAGACCCCATAGAAATATTAAGTTATTAATCTTAAGGAAACTTCTTAATCCTGTTCACATTTCTGAGAGAGTGCCTCTTTAAGTAAAGTTCAAAGAACAAAGGTCCAAATGTTGGATATGCACATTTGAGTCCCTTGGCACTTCTTGCCCTTTCCCATGAAAATGAAGAAGACAGACATAACTATCACCATGACAACAACCGTTTGTTTAGTTATTTAATTTTTATATCCATTATCACAATTCTTAAATTAATGCTGTGAAATTGGAGAAAGAGCTATTTTTTTTTAACTACCATTCGCATTTTACAGATAAGGAAATTAGCTCAGAGGTGTAATGGCTTGCCTGAGGTCAAACAGCTAGTAAGTGGTGGGCCTGAGATTACATCTCAGGATTTCAGTCAAGTTCTATGCTCTTTCTATTATGCCACACTGGAATACCTTTCCTCTTGTTGCTTTAAAAAGGTAAAGATTCTTTTCCACTTCATTTAATTCTGAGGTTTGCTTTTTAAACACTGTAATACGCTCTGAGATCCCTCTAAAGCACCTGACTTCCCATTATTATATTTACTGAGGAAAGGTTATATAGTATAATGGTTAAATGCATGGGTTTTGGTGTCTGATAGACCTAGGTTCCAACTTGGCTCTGTCACTGATTAGCTATATGATCTTGGGTAAGTTCCTCTATAAAATAAGGTAAATCTGCCTACTTATTGGGTTGTGGTGGAGAATTAAATAAGATACTATATATAAAACAAAGTTAAATGATAAGTAAATGGTGCTAAGGTTTGAACGTTTATGTCCCCTCTAAAATGAATGTTAAAACTTAATCCCCAATGCAACAGTATTAGGAAGTAGGGCCTTTATGAGGTGATTAGACCATGAGGTCTCCACCCTCATGGACTGGATTAGTGCCTTATAAAAGGGCTAGAAGGGGCTAGCCCTTCTGCTCTTCTGTCCCTCTGCCATGTGAGAACACAGCATGAAAACATGTGAGAACATCCCTTTTCCCCCTTCCATCTTTCCTGTCATGTGAGGACACTATGGAAAGATGCCCTCACTTGACACTGACTCTGCTGGCACCATGATCTTAGACTTCCCAGTGTCCGGAACTGTGAGAAATAAACTTCTATTATTATAAATTATATTATAAATTACCCAATCTAAGGTATTTTGTTATAGCAGCACAAAAGGACTAAGACAGATGGTATCATTATTGCTAGCTCTACTCTACCTTTTATTCATTCAGCCATACTTTGGACTCCTTGATAACCCAAAACAATTATATTTACAAGATCTCAAATTCCAAACTCCTCCCTGACTGTATCCTACTTAATATCCTTCCATTTCTTTCATGGATCCTGTTCTTTACTCTAATTTTGACTACCAATTTATTGATACTTTCTAATACTCTCAGTAGATTGGCTTCTTCTGGGCCTTAAACTGCCTAGTCTGAACCCTATGGTCAATCATTTCAGTTATGTTTCCCAAGCACTTATTGGACCCATGACCTTTTGTCATTCCCACCATGTCAATTCCTAACCACAGGTTAAACTGACTGTGTGTGTGTGTGTTCATCAATAGGCTGCAATGCTGAAGAAATAACATAACCAATAAGATTGGACCCATTATAAACATGCTATCTGACCTTAGATGAACCCTTGGTTGATTGACAATCTTTTCTCCCTCATTCCTACTTGACTAACTTAATCTAATTCACTACGGCAGCCATTCAAAACATCCATCATTTTCAAGATAGTAAATCTACCTTTGCTTTCTTTTGGTAGATGATTTCACCAAATACTTTATGAAGATCAAAGTTATCCACAAGGGCTCCCTAACCTCCTTTTCCTCACCTCACATTCTTTCTTTTGCTATTAATCATTCCTTTGTCCTTCTTCTTGCTTCAGAGGAAATAGCTGCCTTTATTTTTGAGGCTCTGCCTTCTGTCTTTAACTATGTTTCTACTCCTTCCATTTTCTCTGGGACCCTTTGATCTTCTCCCTTTCTCTTAGACCTTCAATTTATTTTCCCTTTACTAATTCCTTTTTTTCTATCTATACACATGCTCAAATCTTCCCAATCTCAAACAGAAAGAGTTTTCTCAAGCAATCATCTCTTTCTTTTCCTTTCATTGCCAATCAGAAGGAGTACCATTTTGCAGAGCCATTTATCCTAGCCAGGATGTGAAGGAGAGCTTGCTAAGATTTGTCAAACCTGCTTGCCAATATCTATATTAATCCCTGTATTAATCCATTCCTTTCTTTTCTTTCCTTTTTAGCCAAACAAAACATTATGCTATTTTATTGGCCCATATCCCATCTAGATGTAAAAGAGAGACTGTTGAGGTTTTTCAAAGCCACTGAGCAAAACTTCCATCTATAGTTTTGTATAGGAGCAAAATAAAATTCCAGATGAACCCTGGGAAGAATCTATGGCTACTGTGATCTAAACAAGAACCACAGACTTAAGGATAAAGCAGGGTTTTCTTTTTTCTTTTCTTCTTCTTCAAATGAGAGTTGGGGCTTTGGAATAGAAACGAGCTAAGAGACGTGAATATCTCTCTAGAAAGAAATCATCACAAAACAGGATTTTATTTCCTGTTGTTAAAACAATAAAATGGTAAGTTGTTGTCAAGGATGGAGTATACATCACAAAGACTGGGAAAAACACATTTGCAGACACTTAAAAGTTTTGATCAAGGATGTCTATGGAGAAAAATGCCCAGATAAAATTATATGATCAGAAGTTCTCCCCGTAAAGGTGAAAGCAGATCAAGCAAGGAGAGTTAAGACTACTCAATACATTTGGATGTTTGTTCACTATGGCAACAAATAAATAATAAAGGAGAGGTTTTAACTTTGAACAGAAAATCTAACTTCACAGCTATCACAGAGGCACATTACAGTGGATTTCACAATTGGAATAGAAGGGTATATTTGCAACAAGGGAGAAAAACCAAGTAAGAGAGAAACGAAGTAGCTCTATGTGCAGCGGCTCTCAACTGGGGCCAATTCTGCTTCCTAGGGGACATTTGGCAACATCTGGAAACATTTTGGTTGTCACAACTTGGAGGCAGGGTATGTGTGCTACTGGCATCTAGTGGGTAGAGGCTAAGGATGCTGCTAAACATCCTACGACGCAGAGGACAGCCACCCCTCTCCCAGCAATTATTCGACCCAAAATGTCAATAGTGCCACAGCTGAGAAACCCTGCTGTATATGTGAAGAAAATATGTATAAACCTAAGGCAGGTAGCATGGTTGAATAAACTAGGGTGAAAAACAGAAGTAATATTATAGTATAGATATGGTCTGTCTAGTTAGAGAGAAATAAAATGATCTGTTACTGAAAAGGATCACAAAACTTACAGAGGAACCCACTGAGAGGGGACAAAGAATCTTAGTTCAAACTCTGCCTCTGCTGCTTACCAATGTGTGTGATGTTAGACAAGCCACTGAAATTTTCCTTTATCCACAAAACAGGGGGAATACACGCCTTACCTCACGGGACTGTGATAAAAATCAAATGTGATCTGTAAAGGGCTATCTACATGTAAGTTATTAACAGAGTAGAGAAACTTGGATAATCTGGATATTTGCTAAGTCACATGAAGCTGAAAGCAGAGTACCTGATAAATTCCTTATCTACTCTGATGACAATTTCTTTACACAAAAGATACTGCAAGTGAAGAAGGAAATGGCTGCTTTGGTCTTCAACAAGGAAGAATTAATTATAAAAATAAGATGACAGCAATCTAGTTGTAGGGGACCAAGGAGCATGCTCAAACATCAGTATCCTAGACTTTAAGAAAACAATCTCCAAAATTTAGGAAGAAAGATAGTTAAGATGTTGGGAACAGAAAGTCTACAGGGGAAAATGGCAAGAGGATAGAAGGCTTTCAAAAAATAAAATCATAATTATATAGTCACAAATTATTTCAATAAAAATCAATGAAGCCATATAGGAATGAGCTTTCAAATAAACTCATATATATGTGTAAAAAGAACACATAGAGCATTATGGGAAATTTTGCTCAAACATAGGAGAATGACCACAAGCATTTCTCTGCTCTCCCTCCTAAAACACTACTACAAAGAATAAAAAAAGTATTAACCCACAAAATCAGAGCATAGGAGAGGAAATATAAGTAGGCAAGAGATTTAAACATATTTTTAGTGTACAGGTTGAGAAGTGATAACAGTCTTAGCAAGATGGAAGAATCCTCAACTTAAAGTGCCTGCAGAGGGACAATAATGATGATGATAGTGATAAAAACAGCTAAGTTTATGATAAGACAGACACTGTTCTAGGTACTTTATACATATTAACTCATATAATCCTCACAATAGTCCTATAAAGCAGATATAATTATCCCTGTTTTGACAGATATGAAAGTTGAGGCACAAAGAGGTTAGGTCACATGCCCAAGATCATGCAGCTAATAAGTCAGTAGAGTCAAATGTAGGCAGTATGGCTCCAAAGTCCATGGTTTTAATCTCTATGCTCTATGGAAGTGAGCTAATTTGCTCACTTAGAGGCACCAGGTACTGTGGAAAGAGGTGAAACTTGGGGCTGACAAGAGGGAGTTGGTAGAAAATCTACATATAGAACTCTTGAACGCTAAGTCTCCTCTTGTAGAGCCATGCAACTACTGTGTCACCCATTCTTAATCATTTCCAGTCTACTTTATGGGATATTCTTTCTATACCCACCCGTTAAATGTTGGTAATTCTCCTGGGACTGTCTTAAGCTCTTTTCTTAGTATATATGGGGGTACTTCAAAATACGTATATACTAATGACTCCCTAAATCTCTATTTCCAAACCAGACCTCTTTCCTGATGTCCAACACTGTATTTTGACTGCCTACTGAATACCCCCAGTGGGCTATGCCCACGTGGCATTGCACAAAAA